CCATAGAGGGAAAATGTGTATTCACAACAAGATCCTGAGTCAAGGGAGGAGGAGGGTCACTCGACTAAGGAGGAGCAGGAGTCTCAACACAATGAGAAAGATCATACGCATGCATAAAACCCATAAAGTGTTGCAAGTGCTCGAAGGGCTCCTAAGTAGGTTCCTGATTAGGACAACCCTCCAAAAGCACAAGGTACTCAACGCGTGGAGGGGTATGGTCTGTAACTCGATGAAATATGATACCACAGACATCGAACTTCTCGTGGCCATCCACCATGATAAATGGAGGGCGCTTGTAAGGGCGTCTAGCGAATCGCTCAAGCGGTTTGCGGTAAGGACGCATCAAGGAGGCGTAAATATCATGTCCACGAGCTTAACGAAGACAACGAGGCAACTTTGTATGGAAGAAGATGAGACTATCTGCAATGTTAGGGCCGACGACATGGAGGTTGGGACATTCATTGAAAAAACGACGCTCTGCTTCGAGCTTCAAATGACAGACATGGACGAGCACATCATCACCAACTTTGAATGAATGATCTATTTTTGATTGGTTGGCTCATGCGGCCATAGAAGTCCGCCGTGTAGGAAAAAAATCTTAGTTATATATTTGACCCACTCATCAAAAGTTGGGCAACGAGTGCCTGGGTGCATCTGCAATGGCCTAAGGAAATTTACATGCATTCGAGGGTGATAGTCAAGGTTGCAATAGTAAGGTATCATACACGTAGCCGGCCAATTTGAGATAACAATTATTTTCGTGTTGTCCATGAGGAGACTCTGCTCACACACATAGTGTCCTAAGAAGTCCGCTTTGAGCTAGGTCAAGCAACACTTACTAAGTTTGGCGTAAATCATGATCTCGTTGTAAGACATTTTGGAGGTATGCAGTATTGTCGTTTAAGGTACATTTGTACATCAAGATATCATCCAGGTACATGAAAACGTAATCTTCGAAGACCTTCCTAAAAGTACCATTCATCACTATTTGGAAAGTGGCGGGTGCATTGACAATACCAAATGGCATCATCATGAAATCTTAGCAGACGAAGCAGCATCAAAAAACGATCTTCGACTAAGTCCTCTACTGCAATCCGGATGTGGTGATAACCACTACAAAGATCTATCTTCATGAAGATGTGGTTACATGTGAGAAGGTCAAATAATTTATCAACATGAGGCATTGATAAATTATTTTTAGCGGCGTAGTAGTTGAGACCGCAGTGATCGGTGCAAACTCTGAGAGCACCGTCAGCTTTGCAAGCAATGAAAACGGTGCAACCTAATAAGACATAATGAGTTTGATTAAACTCAGTCAGAGGAGCTCCTCAAGCTGACACTTGATTTCCTTCATGTGGGAGATCAAGAGTCGGTAGGATGCCTGATGGTGAATACGATGGTCAAGCATAATCTGAACCGAGTGCTCTACAATGCGCGTTGGAGGTATCCCACTATATGAAAAATATGAATGAAAAACGTTGTAATATTTACAAACCAAGTCACAAACGGGTGGTCGCACGTCCGTTGTGTACCTATCTAGTTCTTCGGTATTTGTATGGTCACAAGGTAGAGGCGTGGGCTCGGTGGAGGACGACGTAGAAGCCGGAAACATGGAGTAGGGATCCATGCTAAGGGGTGGACATTGGTATATAGGACCGTAGTGAAGGAGATCCATGACGTTCACAATGTAAAATGTAATGTCGTGCTCACTCATAAGGTAGGCAAACTAGTGGAGGGGTGTAATGGCGATGTTGGGATGAGACTGTGAAGGGTGATGCTGGAGAGGTAAGTCCGATGGGATGCTAACCATGGTACCGGGAAAGGGGACACAATGGGTTGGACCATACTTCGTTTTAAGAACAAATGTATTTGTCTCCAACTTGGCCTCAATCGATCCGAACTAATAGGAGCATAGAGTACCAAGGATAAAGTCGTACCCGATCTCCACCATAGGGAAATGTGCGGAGAAGTGAAAGTGTGGGCTTGAGCGGGTACTATCAACCATCTGAAGGGCGAGGGAGAAAGAAAGGTTAGGGATTGTCTGATCGAAAAAATGCTTTGCTTCTGTTATCTCCAAGGGTAACGGAGATAGGAGAATCCAGCTCGGTAGTGCAAGGATGGATGAAATCGCCCTGGTAACCAGCGTCTCGTAAAGCGCGGAACACCCTGGTACACAATCCTTAAACGGACGGGTAGAAGAAGTAGGGTGCAACCTGGGTCAGTAGTTAGATGGACGAGGCGATGTCTTGCACATCACTCCCAATGGGCCTAAAGGATGCTCAAGTTCACGAGGTATGATACAACATCGTCTTTGGTCATCATCTCAGCACTACAACGTGTTGTGCAAAGGGCACGATGCGATGGAGGTCTACAAGGTGTAGGAGATGAGATGGTGTTCTGCTGTGAAGCAGATGGTACATCGACAGGAGACGGGACAGAAAGAGCTATGTCTGTTGTTGAGTTAGGAACCTCTCATGTGGTAGCCAAAGGCACAAAAAGTGACTTGGTGGTTTGAAAACCGGCTACTAATGAGGCTTCAAAGGTACCTCACAAAATCTAGGTTTGGGAGGGGAACGAAAAGGCGTCGGAGGGGAATTGCGATCAGTGCTCGCGAGAGATGTCAACATAAGGTCGATGAAATGCAGTGTGCCTTGGTCGCGAGGAGGTATGGTCGTCTTAAGGGCAGTGGATACAACTGTGATGTGGCTCAATCACGACATGATCATCAGGGAGCAAGTGTTCGCATGGGAGGACAAAGCCCAATGCGTGGGAACTGCTCCACATATTGTACGAGTGGCTGGAACCACTAATGGAACTCAGAATGGGACTTGGGAATAAGATCTGGGACTCAGGACTGGGCCCTGGACCTCGGGACAAGTGGCTCAGGACTGGGACCTGGGACTCACGACTGAGACCTGAGACTCGGGGCTCGAGACTTTGTGAATCCTTTCAAGTTTCTTTAATAATTGAAAATACAATTGAACTGGCTCTTCCACTCCCATTCACCTACGGGACATTCCTCTAGCCACTCGCTACCTCAGCAATGCAAGTCTCACGTTGAAGACGCTGATGAAGTCTCTCTGCAGGTACCACCTCTGGCGCCCAACCTCCAGCATCAATGCTGGCTATGGAAATTGGCACCTGCCTTCGTCAGCTCCCTGATGTAAAGAGCAACAGCCCCAGTATCACGACCACTAAGGTAAGTCAAGGCAAGATTCCAACTCTCTCAGTCTCTCTCCACTCACAGTCCCAATTACCCTCCTCCGTCCTCTACCTCTATGCTACAGCTATGGTGTAGGGACACTTTCTTGCTATGGCTACCACTCTCACTCTCCGAGTCCTTCCTGGGCTTGCACTGTCTTCCGCTGTCTGGCACCAGCCTTACTTCTCTCTTTTTCTCGCCCAGCAGCAGGGTGGCCACCAGTGTATGGAAGGCAGAATGAATCAGCTGCTGGGGCTGGCCGCTCGTTTGTACCGTGAGCAGCCTCAGTTTGCCTCCGATGGTGCAGATTTCCCTATCTGGGCAGCCCAGCTGTTGGCCTCAATGTGTCCGCACCCAGTAGGCCCAGGAATCTTCTGAACCAAATGCACGTAGCCTTTGATTGTGCATCTGATCAATAGCTGTGGTTGACTGCTGAGAAATCTCTTAGTCGGGTCTACCTGGGTCATACCTGACTCTTGACTTTCCCTGGAGCCAACGGCCTCATGTTGGCACAGGTGGCCTTGTTTGACTCTGGAACCTATACCTGTTGACCGTGGGACTTTTCTCAGACCCCTTTAGGGCTAGAGAGACGACTTTCGATTGCTGAATAGACCTGGACCAAAAGTAACGACCCTGGCCCATGTCTGTGCGCATTTTGTACCCAGTTCATCGCAGGACACAAGTATGCATGCACATCATAGATTGTGCTGCACCTGTTGTTTCTTTTCATTGTGAATGAATGTTGGACTTTGGTTTTGTGAGAAACCCGACGAAGGAAAGGTTGCTGTATGCGGAAGGAATGAGAAGAATAGTTTGGCAGTGTTTTCTGATCAAGTTGGCATTAGATACGACCCTGGCCAATGTCTGTGTGCGCTTTGTACCCAGTTTATCACACATGCCTCACAATGTAATACAATGATTTTTTTCTCGCAGGACACAAGCATGCATGCACATCGTAGATCTTGCTGCACCTGTTTTTTCTTTGCATTGTGAGCAAATGTTGGACTTTGGTTGTGTGAGAAACCCAATGAAGGAAAATTTGCTCTATGCAGGAGGAATGAGAAGAACAGTTTGGCAGTGTTTTCCAATCAAGTTTGTAATAGATATCCCCGTAGTGTAATCTCTGCAAGTGAAGCATTGAAGGAGCCTGGGTATGGAAAAACATCACGTCGGAGATCCGGTGGTAAGGAATGCTCATTGTGACACACATTTATGCATAAACACACTGCTACACAGACTCAGGATGTCCGGTCTTCTGTTGTTCCTTGCCCTCCAAAGACTACGTGCAGTTGGGTCGACTCTTTTGTCATCAGAAAGCCACTTTCCGAACTGTGGTTTATCACTTGTTGGCTGGGTTTTACTCATTGGTTTGATAGCAGAACCAATAAATAGGTTTGATTGCAAAATCCTTCACACTTTGCAGTTTGGGCTTTGTTGCAAAGTTGAATTTAAATTGTTCTTTCATTTGTTCCTTTGCGTATTCTTCAGACGTGTGCCTCACCCCTAGTTGTCCTTCAATTTGATTCCCCAGTACGCTCCCCCCGACTCTATATATTTTGCAGCGGGTTCTGTCTTTAGTCTGTACTGCTTGTACCTGGCAGGCTGAAACAACTCTTCTTCTAATAAAGTGGTACATGTGTTACCTGGTGTGTAACTTCCTGCACCCAGAGCTTGCCCCCTTCCCCCTTTGGAGAAAAAGGCAAGAGTTTCCCTTTAACTGTTCACAGCTTTTTCACTTGCTTCACAAATTGAAAACCAATACCCATGTTTGCTCAATGGCCAGTGATGTGCAGCTCACCGGTGTTCGCTTGACAAGTCCTCCTTGCAGTTTCACATGGCGCCAACAGCTGCGGGCTGGAGCTGATGAAGGCCTCCCTTTTGCTTCCTCCTTCTTCGCAGCTTCCATTTGTGCAAGCTGGCAGATAAATCCACAGTGAATTTCAGTGATAGGGGCCATAACCATATGACACCTGGACACACCGAAAATGGAGTGACAAACAAAACTATTCCATTTCCGTTGACAATCAATTCCCTGCCCTCCCTTCCATCAATGGAACCAAGAAGTGTAACAAACCTGGCGAGTCCATCTCAATAATACAGCCTCACAAGACACGTTTGGGGCGAGTATAATACAAATGAACTCTGGGAGTTAGGCTCCGTTGGCCTAAAGAAACCTGAGTCAGCAAGCAAAGCAATTGTGATTCTCAGACGAAGGTCCAGTTGGTACTTCGTTTCTGCTAAGCTAAGATGAATCTGGTCACTTGTCTTACATGGCTCTTGCCTTCTCAGCACAGACACAGCGCAGCAGGGGCTGGACCTTAGAATCATAAGTATCTTTGGATTCTTTGCAGAGCTCTTGTAATTCTGAGGCAAGACTATGCTGTATTGTGTTTGCACTAAGTTAACAGGAACTTCGACAATCATGGTCTGTACTGTTTGCTCTTCTTGACCCTGCAAGGAATCAAACCAGCGATCTCGGGCTTAACAGCCGGATGTCTTCACCACTCCAGCCATATAATGTGGTAATGCATGCCCGGAGTAAGATGCCGGTGATGCAAGTTCGGCGATCCCCAATATAAGGGAGAGATGCAATGTGACACAGCGGAAGACTCAAATCAGATAGGACTGGCTGACGTTGCTGCAAACGACAATGTGACGAAAATCTGATCTCACACCAACGGGGAGGGGTCCAGTCATAGAACAACCTCCCTACAGCAATCATACATAAACGAAAGTGGATGGAGAAGAAGAAGAAGAAGAAGAAGAAGAAGAAGAAGAAGAAGAAGAAAAAGAAGAAGAAGACCCAATGTATGTCAATGCAAAATAATAATGGTCTCCCTCCCACCTCTCTCTCCCTTCAACCTCCAAAATGCCCTCTAATAATCACTCTCAGATTTCAAACCAGGGAGCTGACTCCCGTGTCAACAGTGTCAAGTCTCCATTCTCCTTCCTTCTCTCCGCTGCGGGCATTTGTAAGTTGCCATGTCAGCACAGTGACATGTCAGCAGACATCGTCAGCAGTGACATGTCAGCAGGCTACATCAGCAGGACATGTCAGCAGTGACACGTCAGAAGGCCATGTCAGCAACACAGTTTTTTGATGCCACATCATCCCCCCCACCTGCACCTCATGCCTGTGATCGTGCGATTGCAGACTGCAGCTATGGAGTGCAAGGACGGCGAGTCAACTAAGGATCATGCAGCCGCATGACGACCTTATTGGTGGATACTCAGCAGAGGATGGGGGAGGCCAAAGTCGCTAGCTTGAAAGAGGGACAGGAGGCAGAGGAGGCTCGCCGCAAGACTGCAGAACAACGGGAAGCGGTCGAAGCAGCAGCACAGAAGGCTGCAGATGCGAAGAGCGGTGTATCGGGACACAAGGCTGCAGATGAGAAGAGCGGTGTATCAGGACACCTAGCCCCTCAACAAGGCCACGACACTATCGATGACCGGGCAGAGATAGTCAGCAAAGGTGATGCCACTACGGCGGACCGGCAGTTTGCTGCAGTCATGGCACATGTCGCCGACCTCATCGCTACGTGCAAGGTGCAGCAGGCCAAGATTTTGAACCTGCAGCAGCTCAACGCACGGCAAGCCGACCACATCACGACACAGGATGCATGTATATTGGCCTTGGAGCAGCGTCCAGTGGCCAATGGACCAGCTCCCTTTAACATTCCAGACCTCGTCCACCATCTGGAGATCATGTTGGGCCCTTTGCAGGCTGCCGACACTCGCCTTGAGTAGCTGATTATTGTCGTGCATGGCTATGGAGGATGGATGATGGAGGTGCATGAGGACGAAGGAAGAACGTGCATAGTATGGAGGATGGGTGACAGAGGTGCATGAGGAAGAAGAAGGTGCTTGGCAATGGAGGATGGGTGGAGGTAGGTGAAGAAGGAGGAGGAGGGTGCATGGCTATGGAGGATGGGTAAAGAAGGTGGATGAAGAAGGACGAGGAAGATGCATGGCTATGGAAGATGAGTGAAGAAGTGGATGAGGAAGAAGGGGAAAGGGGCACCTTCTTCTTCCTCCACCTCAATCACCCATCCACCATAGCCGACCACCTTGAACCTTCTTCTTCTTCCAACTCCATCACCCACCCACCATAGCCAACCACCTTGCACCTTCTTCTTCCTCCACCTCCATCACCCATCCACTATAACCAACCACCCTGCACCTTCTTCTTCCTCCACCTCCGTCACCCATCCGCCATAGCCGACCACCTTGCACCTTCATCTTCCTCCACCTGCATCACCCATCAACCATAGACAACCACCTTGCACCTACGTCTTCCTCCACCTCAACCACTCATCCGCCATAGCCAACCACCTTGTGCTGTCTTCTTCCTCCACCTCCATCACCCATCCACCCACCTTGAACCTTCTTTGTCCTCCACCTCCATCACCCATCCACCATAGCCAACCACCTTGCACCTTCTTCCTCCACCTCTATCACCCATCCACCATAGCCAACCACTTTGCATCTCTTCTTCCCCCACCTCCATCACCAACCCCCCATAGCGAACCACCCTGCGCCATTTTCTTCCACCACCTCCATTACCCATCCACCAAAGCCAACCACCTTGCACCTTCTTCTTCCTCCACCTCCATCACTCGTCCACCATAGCCAACCACCTTGCACCTTCTTCTTCCTCCACCTCCATCACCCATCCACCATAGCCAACCACCTTGCACCTTCTTCTTCCTCCACCNAACCACCTTGCACCTTCTTCTTCCTCCACCTCCATCACCCATTCACCAATGCCAACCACCTTGCACCTTCTTCTTCCTCCACCTCCATCACCCATTCACCATAGCCAACCACCTTTCACCTTCTACCTCCTCCACCTCCATCACCTATCCCCCATAGCCAACCACCTTGCGCCTTCTTCTTCCTCCACCTCTATCGCCCGTCCGCCATAGCGAACCACCTTGCAACTTCTTCTTAACCCACCTCCATCACCCATCCACCATAGCCAACCACCTTGCACCTTCTTCGTCTTCCACCTCAATCACCCATCCACCATAGCCAACCACCTTGCACCTTCTTCTTCCTCCACCTCCATCACCCATCCACCATAGTCAACCACCTTGCATTTCTTCTGCCTCCATCTCCATCATGTGGCATACTGCACAGCCACACGGGCCTACAGGGCCCGACCAGACGGAAAATAAGGGTCCTACAGGCCATGTGTCGTTTCAGCCTGAAAGCCTGAAAACAAGGGCCTACAGGCCCTGTGTCGTTTCAGCCTGAAAGCCTGAAAACAAGGGCCTACACGCCCTGTGTCGTTTCAGCCTGAAAGCCTGAAAACCAGGGCCTACAGGTCGTGTGTCGTTTCAGCCGGAAAGCCTGAAAACAAGGGCCTACAGGCCCTGTGACAGCCTAAAAAAATGCCCTCCAGGCCCTGAGTCTTTTCAGCCTGAAACGGAGGGCCATTTTCGGGCCCTCATAAGTTTGACCTGCCCTAAAACTTAGGCACCAGACCAGGGTTTTAGCACAGGCCATTTTGGGCCTGTTTTCAAGACAACCTTTGTTTGAACTTCAACGCCGGGGTCTGGCACGTTTTGGCGTTGGCAAGAGCAGAATCCTGGACGGGCCAGCACTATATAAGACTGGCCTGCCCTGCAGGCTGTAGGTAGTTCATAGGGACTTCCCAGGCACTTCACGTGCAGGAGGCAGGAGGCAGTCTTCAGGATTCGGCAGCAGCACTCTGGAGGAGCGCTGCAGTAGTAGTAGTAGCGTAGTCTTCAGCGCTGGGCGCTATTAGGGGCTAGAGTAGCGTTGGAGAGAGAGAGATGGTTGGCGGAGGCCAGGGAGACTTACTGTGGCGCCATAGCTCCAGCTTCGTCTTCGATGTACCTGCAACAAGGTGCCACCTTCACAGGTTAGTACTGGACTGAGAGAGAGAGAGAGAGAGAGAGAGAGAGAGAGAGAGTTCTTCTTCTTCCTCTTCTAAGTCCACCATCTCTCGCTCACCCTCTCGCTACCTACCTTCTCAGTATCTGCAGACTACGAGAGAGAGAGAGATTGGTGACTTTGGGACTTGACGACATTTGAATCCAGACTCGACATTGGGATTGAGACGTTGGACGAGGGATTATGTGGGACCTGTACCGAAGACTTGGTGTTGACGACATTCCCATCTTCCCCTCTTCTTCGTCTGTGTATGGCTGGGGACTGACGCACTCTTCCTGTGTGAGCGCCAGCCCCTTTCACACCATGGAATGATGATGATGTATGTTTGGTCTGCATTACGACATTGATTGGTCTGATCATTGGTATATTAGCCTTCCGCTGCGCTATCTTGTACTGTGTGAGAGAGGTCGGTTCTTGTTCTGGTCTGCACCTTACGGTATGCGACAATTTGGTATCGGAGCAGACCACTCAATCAGAGGATTTGCCCAATCAAGGAGCCTGCTTGAGTATTAAATTACTATTAATCGATTGACAGTTTGACGATTTTCTGATTGGTTGAATCAAGTAGGATCCCGTTAAATCCCGACAATTTTTTTTTCTGTCTTTCTCGCAACAAATACCTGAAAATTTCTGGCAGTAGCGTTTCGTTTTATCTGAAAATTTCTGATATTAGCATTTTGTTTTATCTGAAAATTTCTGATATTAGCATTTCGTTTTTAAATTTTCACGCAACAAATATCTGAAAATTTCTGATAGTAGCATTTCGTTTCTCTGATATTAGCATCCGAAAATTTATGATATTAACACTTATAGCCGAAAATTTCTGATGTTAGCATCTCGTTTTTCTAGGCATATTAGGATAACGACAGAGGTCATATTATGGGAAACTGGATTCATTCTTTTATGAAAATCGAATCTCCATTTTATTTCGCAAAAAAATTGGTTTTTGAAAACCAAAATTTTGCGAACCCTATCAGCATTTCGTTTGCTAGGCATAATAGGAGGTTGCCATATTCTTGGAAACTGGATTTATTCTTTTCTGAAAATCGAATCTCTATCCTATTTTCGCACAATTTTTTTTTAAATCGCAAATTTTTTTTTGAAAGCCGAAATTTTCCGAAGCCTTGCCTAGATCTTACTCTTAACACTCTCCGTAAAATGCTTCACTTATATCAAATCGA